GGATTTCAACAATAATACTGTACAGGTGAACCTCACTCACGGACACTGCCCAAGTTTTTTTTCTGGCAAGAACCTAAACAGTCGCAAATGCAGTCAGCCCCTTTTTCACGTACTTTGCCGATGGGTCCCGATACCGATCTCTGTCGATTATCACATCCGCCAGAAACCAACCTCCCTTTTTTAGGGCGGAGCTCGTCGCTCTGTGGCTCACTCTATCTGCGCCTGGGGCTAAGTCCAGCTGCGCCTTACTTCTAAGAATCTTCACTATGTGGCGCAATGTTGTTGCAGTATGTGAAATGATCAATAGATGAAGTGAACGCGTGTTTCATGTGGTTTAGTTTCATATAAGTTTCATTGCATGGCAGACAGACAGATGGACTAATGGACAGGCAAACAGACAGATGGACGGACAAATAGACAGACAGAAGGACGGACGTAAGGACGGATAGATAGCAGAGGGATGGACAGACAGACGGAAGAATCGGACAGACAGACAAAAAGATGGGCGGACACAGTGAGACGGTCCGTCCATCCATGAGTCCGTCCGTGCGTCATTCCTCTGTCTTCATTCATGCTTCCGTCCATGAATGTTTCCGTCCCAATGCAGAATGCTTCCGTCCATGAACATCAGTCTGTTTGTTCGTTTGTACTTCCGTCCGTGCCTCCGTACATCTCTAAGTTTTGTCGCTTTCTCCTGGTCCATCCGTGCGTCCTTCCTCCATCCATCCCTTCCTCCGTGCTCCCTTCCGTGATTCCATCCATCCGTCCGTGTGTCCAGACGCATGTATGGACCAACGACGCTTCGTCACACTCATCACTCACTCAGTCGCAGATATGCTCTGATTTCTTTAAACCACCGGACCATATAAGAGTCTCAACCTGAGAAGCTTCCACTTAGTACAGCTTTGCAATACAATTACCTTTAGGACCACCTACTCTTCTGCGCTAAGTTTGAATGATACCACAAATTACATGGACCTCCAAATTATTCAGTTAAGGATTTCATGGCTTTTTCCCCCTTATTTGCACTATCATGTAGTTAAGAGATGCCAAACAACTAAGACAGAACATGACAAACCACAAAGAAAACGAACTTTTTGTGAAGCCATAGCTGAAAACAAGGACGAAAGTACGACGGACGAGCGCTACATTAATAATTTTTTTCGTATTTCTGAAACGTGCCTTGCTTATACGAGAGATGAAGATAGCAATGACTGTAGGAGAAGTTCAAGCGAGGATCATTGAGATACGCGAGGTTTTTGCGCCCAGAGAAATCGAGGGGGCACTCCCTCTGGTTTCACTGCTACATAGAACATCATTTACCTAAAAAAGCTCAGATTACCCCTATACTTGGATATGGCTATATTTAAGTCCTATCTGAAAACTTCCTTGTCCAATCTGCAGCGTCCCTCATATTGATAGGCGTGCGCGCGAGCAGAGACGGGTGCAGGCGGAGGGGCCCTTCCCAGTGTAAGAGGAGCGCCAAGTCTGCCCCGTATAAATCGGTTGCTCTTTAAAGTGCTCACTTACACTCTTGTTACGCAGGCAGCCTGTGGTTAACGTAATTGCGGTTTCGACGAACCATGGCTCGCTTATGTTACACGTTGCGAAACCGCGGATATGCCGCTCCCCGCGATTGTAGGCAGCCGAGCATGGCAACCGTGGTTTAGTGGTTACACACCTCTAAGGCGTCCTTGGCCTTAACCGAGGACGTTTTAAATGTGTGTTAAATCGGTGAACCATAGTTGGCGCTCACTGCAGTTCCGCGTGGTTCACCGTCGTTGTTCGTAACGGCGGTTACCTTCCCTATGTGAGTACGCCATTGCAGTCATGCACGTTTCCGACCATAATGGCGGCCCCTGCCGTTGGCTCATGACTTCTCTATTTACTTATTGACTAATGACAGGCTGTTGTAAGAAGCACGCATGACCTTATTTTCGTGTTTGCTTTCGTTAGGCAACTGGTTTTTTTTGCATAAAGAAGCTGTAAAAATAAATAAGCTGTAAACAAATGATCACAGCCATATGTGTTCTGTGTTTTTCAGACAACGCAGGAGGCGGCTTTCCTTTTTTAAAGACCTTGGAATTCCAGGTCCCCCACCAAGTTTTCTTTCTGGAAACTTATCCGAACTTATACAAAAGGTAAAGGCGAAATGTCCTCCAAGAACGTGTTTACGCAATGCACGGCTTTGTCATTTTTTTGTAACGAGTACAGCATGTAAAGAGAGTGAGAAACCATCTGAGATTGTTGCCAATATGAACGTCGCATGAAAGCTGAACCAGATTTCTGAAGTTATCAGAGAATTCCCCTAAAAGTAAACCTCACATAAAATGTAAACAGGTTTGGTAAATCACTCGAGAGTTCCTGAAAGTGAATGCCACATGATTTTCGAAGCTTTGAAGCGTTATGTTGTTTACGAATCCTAATAAAGCTGTCCAAAAACCATTCTAGGTAATAAAAAAACTAAATGTTCTAAAAACCTCTGTCATGAAGGGACCTCAATATTCACACGTGAAAAACTTATGACCATCATTACCGTGGTGTGGGACACAAAGAGAACGTGTGAACATTAACTGATATTATAAAGCTGGCTAACTTACTGAAGGAAAATAAATCTAAAGTGCCGTATATGTCAAAACAGTGTATTAAAAGCATCGCCAGAGGCAATTAGCGGAACCTGAACTGTTGATTTTTCTATTGTGTGTATTCTAGCAGTTGATCCAGTTGTCCTATGTAGGGAACACTGGATAAATACAGGAATGGTTGGACAAATATGGTGACATTGTTGGGTAGTTACCAGTTTTATTATTTTTCGTAAGCATTTTGTTTTCTGCAGAAATGCGCTTTGTGAAAAGTAAATTAAAGCAATGTTAGCTAATTGGCAACAATAACGGAAACCTTTATACCTGGAGAAGGGCTCCTATATGGCTTTAGTATGGTATAGCTGTTTTTTGTGCTTTACACAGTAGTTAGTGGTTCGTTGCGTAAAGCATAAATATTTTAGAAAAACGTGGAGTGCAGTACAATATTTACCTTAATGATTGGCCATTTCATATTCAGGGTATCTTAGTGCAACACTCTGCGTTGAAGTACGGGCACGTTATCGCCATGACGACTACCCGAACTTTCTCATTCAGGTTCAAAAGTCAGCGCCATATAAAAACGTTTGCAATACCCCAAAAAACACAACGAACACGGCGAGTTTCCCGAACTGTGATGTGATCGTTACAACATATACTTTCGACCTAGCACATTGTAGTTAAGCTAAGTTCTCCTCATGTAACCTTCTTTTCGACGTCACTTTTCAGTTTTTACAACGGTGCTCACCCATTTCTTATCGTGAAAGACCCGGAGCTAATCAAGAAGATCCAAATAAAAGATTTCCACAATTTTCATGGCCGAGGGGTGAGCATAAACGTCCATAATTCGTGCAGCTGTTGGCATGCCCGTAGACCCCTGATGAATGTTACTGATATGCTTTCAAACTGAATTTTTAAAGTGAATAGTGCCGGGAAATTTTCATCACAATACTTTTCCCGGAATTTCTGTGTATCATACCCAACACTCATTCGGAGTTAGATAAGACTAACCTAGTGCTACGCGTGTACTAATTTATCGATACACCATATCACGAGCCAACAGGGCTATGTTCTTTGCGTCTATGTTGGAGAATGTTGGCTATCACGAGCGAAAAGTGACACTTTTAATCGTTATGACCAGTGTCATTTACATGCGTCCTCAAAGGGGCCCTGAAACACTTTTTCAAGTAAGCATGAAATTAATTCCCTGGAAAAGCTAATTGCCTCACGAATTCAACGCCGCAAAAATTTTAAGAATCTGTCCAGTCGAGCGGAGTTACAAATGTATGTGGCATGCTGCAATTGCATTCTCTCTTCTCTAGTCCGGACTAAAGCGCTGGAAGCTGAGCAGGGAGGAATTGCAGGGCTCAAGAGAAACATCACGCGGCCTCCTGACTTTAAGTACTTTTTCTTTTTTCGTTTCCTTGTATGCGCGGCATTTTTCTGTCTGATTGGGCGCGCACGCGTGAACAAGTAGCGGCCTCCCGCGGCAATCTTTCTAACAAGTGAGCGCGCCGTGTTGAATTCATCCAATGGCTGATAGATGGGCTTGCTACGTGTGGTTTTTTTTTTGCATATTTCGAGATTTCTTGAGAGAACAGATAGCAATTTTCAGCTGACTTTGATAATTTATCGTGAATTTCAAGCCAAGTGCTGCGCTATATAATTTGGCTCGCGTGTTTTTGGGAGGCACTACCACCGATCGGCAGCGTTTTCTCACCATGCTCAAAATTGTTGCAGAGCCCTTTACACTGTGAAATAAGGCCACTTATTTTACGTCAATGCGTCTCACTGTTACAATGGCGGTGGTAGTTCTCTCCTGGAGCAACAGCATTTTGCGTGGAGCACAAGCACCAAGGTGCTGTACTCGACAGTGAAGGAGAGGAAAGCTAGGAGGAACATTGCGCCATGAGAAATAAATAAAAAGCGCCAGGCCTGCGCGGAAGGCGCAGCACAGTCACATCGTAAGCTAGAATAGCGGCCTTTCAGAGCCTTTTCTAAACAATCACTGCGTAATGGCTGGAAACACATTTGCTCGGTACCCACTACGGCATTAATAAACTTTTGGGTAATAGACTGGCATTCGCTATGCTATTTTTCGTCATTCTTCTGAGAAGTGTGGTGTCCGCTAAACTTTTGCGAGGAGTTTCGTCCCAATGATTCATGCAGTGGCTATCGACGATGAGGAATTGTGTCTAAAATTGGTATGCACCACAGTTTATACGTGAACAAAAACAAGCTTTTGTAATTGGTTAAAGGATTGGACTACCCATCCATTACACTATAAGCATTGTGTGACGACTGGTTGTTGTTTCGCTAGTTTAAAACGCTTTATAAGTCGTATTAACGCAATTACTTTACCGACATAAAGCCTGCCCGAGGCAAGTTTGCTAACAAGTCCCAAGCAAGAGATATCTAGCATCTTGTCTTTTGAATCTAAAATAAGGAGAAAGAGCTTAGACGAACACTTGAGAGGCTAACAGCTTTTAAATGTAAAAACCCGGAGTATATGCAGAGGATTTGAGGAGTATCAAACAGAGTATAGAGGTATGTGAGAAGAAACGCTATAGCGGAGCGCTGGTGCGAGCCAGAGCAACATCAAATGACTGTGGATGATCGCCCGACTAAGCGAGCACTTGGATTAGAAAAGAGTAATGCCAGAAGAAATCATACAAATGTCATTGAAGTCAACGGTATCTAAATTTCAGACAATGAGAGCAAAGGACGAGCGTTTGGCAAACACTACGGGGTATTCTTCGCTGCCGCGCCTATTGATTCAGAGGCATTTAGCAAGAGTTCCTTAGCAAAACGCCGAACTTGTCAGAATACACCAAAATCAGCTTTAAAGTAATCATAACAACAACGGAAGTAGAAAGGACTATAGATAAAGTGAACCCTGGTAAATCTTCCGGGCCGGACGGGCTTCGTGCTTCGTTTGATAAGGAGTTTTAAAATACTATCCCAAGTACACGCAGATGTCTTCAATCAAGCTTATAAACACAATGGCCTCCCTATGTCCTTCAGTGAAGCACATATAGTTTTGATACCTAAGACAGAACACTCAAAGAAGTTAAAATTTGCTTCTTCGTATAGACCTGAATCCCTGACTAATTGTGATTACAAACTTTTTATTGAAAGTACTAGCACGACAACTTCAACGGGTAATCAAAGAATGGGTAGGGCCCCACCAAACATGAGGGATTATAGGACGCTCCATTGTGACCAATATACACAAGATGCGCTGCGTACTCGAGTGTTAAGATGCCAATCAAGGAGCGGTAGCCATTCTACAGATTGATCTCGAGAAATCTTTTATTGTGTTTCTTGTAACCTTCTGCTTTCCATTCTTGACCATGTCAACGTTAATTCTGCATTCAGAGATGGGGTATCTGTGGCATACCAGAACTGCACGACCATTCTGGAAATCAACAAGACGCTAGGAGATACAGTTAACATAAAGCGTTCTGTCGGTCAGGGCTGCCCAATGAATCCCCTACTGATCAGTTTATATATAGAATCGTTGTGCTTAGCAATAACTCAAAACAGTAGCATTCATGGCTTTAGATTATAAGAATCCCAAGTTAAAATTTTGGCGTATACCGACGATGTGGCTGTTTGCTGTACCGATCAAGATAGTGTTACTACTACTATCATTGTAGTTAAAAGGTTCGGCAATGCAACTTACAGTCTAGTAAACTCGGGAAAGCTTCTGGGTTTCTGGCATGGAGAGTGGCCGTCAAGACCCACTATTTTGCCAATATAAATGGATGACCACACCTGTCAAGTACCTTGGGGTGCCACTGGAATTTTATGAAGATAATGAGAACTACTGGCAAGAACAAGCAAAAGAAATCCGGACGAAAGCCGATAGATGCAACGGTAATCATCTGTCAGTGTTTTTGAGGGTGACTGTCTTTTTTTTGCCTCAAAACTTTGATAAGTGATGCACGTATTGCATGATTTAAGGGCAAACATACAGATGCCCCATCACATCTTCGCAGTATTCGTGTGGGCCTCGAACTGGGAGAGACGCAGTCGAACTAATCTGTTTCGAAAAGTGAAACATGGAGGGCTGGGTTTGCCACATCTTTCATATGCCAAGTCATAAGGTTCTTTTTTTTCGCTTCACAAGGGATTCTTTCTTACGTGCAGTGCGCCAACTGAGACTGATGCGGGATTTACCTGGATATGTGGTTCAAACCAACGACATGACTGGTGCTGTCGGCGGGTGTCTTAAGAAGGTTAATCTAAGTGCACGGCTTTTATCTGTTAAATTTTCATATGAATATTTGTTTTCAGTCACTCGCAAAAAAGTTGTACAAAGATGTGTGTGATGTTGTTTTACCTGAACTCCTGTACCATGCTATGTACACTGGAGGTTAAGCGCAAGATGTGCTTAAACGAGTGAAGAGAATGCAAGTGGTTCCTGCCGCGAAGTCCTTCTTGTACATTATCTGTCGGGACATTTAAAGCTGACCGTGGTTTTTACCTACCTTGGGGGACAAATTGCCTTATCTGTGAAAAACTGTTAACTATGAACCATGTTTTCTAACATTGTTGGGAGGAAGTATATTTTTGGGATGTACTTCCAAGGACGTTAAAGAAAGAATTACCTTTAAATTCTTATGCTATAAGATTTCTGTCAATAGTGCACGAAAAGGGAATGCCTTTTGATTTGATTATTCTATGTGGCCTTCACTGTTTATGGCGGGCCCGTATGGCGGGTTTTTATTGCGATCAGGATGAATGACCTGCACGAATGTATTTCCGTAAATGTATGGCCAAGTGCGTTGAACTACAGAAAACTCTGGAGATTGTCACCTGAGTGGTTGTCGAGGGTGGAGCTCTTGGCAGCACTTAGGGAATTTTAGTTTGTGTCGGACTGTTACTGCTTCTTTTTGTTGTGCGCCGCCACGGTGGTTCAGAAACTAAGGTACTCGGCTACTGACTCGTAGGTCGCGGGATCGAATCCCGGTGGCGGCGGCTGCATTTCCGATGGAGGCGGAAATGTGGTAGGTCCGTGTGCTCAGATTTAGGTGCACGTTAAAGAACCCAAGGTGGTCGAAATTTACGGGGTCCTCCACTACGGCGTCTCTCATAATCATATGGTGGTTTTGGACGTTACACCCCACATATCAAATCAAAAATCATTCTTTTTGTTGCGCTGGTAGTTTGCTGTGCGCGCCTATGAAGAAGCAATAAGCAGAAAAACAGCCTGGCTTAGTTGTAGAATACTGGGCTGGCACCCAGCTGACCTGGGTTGGAACTCTACTGTGTCATTGATGCTAGGTTTTTTTTTTCGATTTAGCGCGATGTGGTTACAGGCACCGGTGGTGGTGCTGGACAACTGCGGCACTGCGCGAGGCCCTAGTTGTCATCTTATAACACCTTTCGCTGTAATAAATAATCAAAACAAATAAACGAGCACACGCCAAGCATCGTCAACTCTCATAATTTGCACATGAAAAAAGAATCCTCATTGTTCATTTATGTTGTATTGGTTCTGTATTCGCAACGTTGAATGGTGCCTCAACCATGCACGAAAAGTGCGTAGGGACTTCACCAATTCACAGCGAAGCAATAAATGTTAAGGCGTACGAACACTTACAGGTGTGGTCCAGCTTCGCGAGCACTCATCCGATCAACAAAGGAAGCATTCTCCACGCTCAGGGAGAGCGCTGGAAGAAGATGCGCAGTCTTCTGACGCCCGCTTTCACGACGAGCAACATGAAGAAGGTGAGTGAAAACGTAATTCACCTCGGTAGCCCATCATACTACATTACTGGCACTCGATGAAGCGGGCACGGGAAAACAGGTTTTGACGGCAGCTGCACAATTCAAAGAAAAGTATTAAAGTCACCGAAAAGATGACATACAAGCTGCAACAGAGTGCGTGTAAATATTTAATAACTTTTTTTTAATAAGGAAAACTGCCGATCTCAAACGAAATCGAAATCACTATGCAGGATCCCTCGAGCTTGGCGAAACTGGAGATCAGCTCGGGCTCCTTGCGAGCTCTGGCGACACCCACTTTTGATTGAGCAAACAGTACGACAAAGTCCAATTCACCCCTCAGCGCGCTGCATTTCATTCGTTACGAAGGAACCTGGCATCGCGTCAAGGACGGTCGACAAAGTTGGGTGGTGGTTTCGAACCACGTGCATCTTCTTTCCTTTGTTTTTCTTTCCATCAAGTGCAGAAGTGCACCCGTGCAATGAAGGCGTCAGAAACTTAACGCGATGATATTTTTTCAGACGCACGGGGTGTTTAAATTTATTTTGATGCTTTCAATACCTCTACTAAGATTGCTTTAGAATACTCAACAAGGTTGCCTCTGAGATTAGTTACTGCCGAGCGTCTAAAAATATCATGACCACAGCTAAACCTGAGACCACGTGTTAATCATCATGCCCGGCCTTCACACTCTAGCGCGCTGCTCAGCTAGTGCGCGCCTTCTTCGTAGACTTCATCATCACCCGATCACTCGCGCCCTGGTAATTAGCTACTTCACTGGGCAGTGTGCTCGGCTAGCTAGGCCAGGACATGCTATGACCAAGCTAATTACGGCAAGTTATGGAAGTCAGGGTAAGGCCAGCGTAATTGCGCCACATCTTAAGAACATCAAGCTAATGACGCTATGTGAGCTAAGACCAGGCTAACTAAAACATGCTAGTTGAAGAGCTATCTGAACCTTGTTAATTAACGTTACGTTATTCATGAACACGCTAAGTAAGACCATGGTAGTTAGTCTTAACTTATATGATAATTAGGATTGTGCAAGTGAGGATTGGATTATTAGCTTCACATTGATCATGACCTTGCTAATTGGGCCCGAGATAAATGCCTCTTGTTTGAAAGCTTACCATTGAAAACAAAACAGGTCAGTATATTCGTAATTACGCCCTAGTCGATTACTATATTCAAAATTAGGGCAGGAATAATGCGGTTTTTACCAAGCAGATGAGTGCACGACTAACTTGAAAAGCTAGAAGAAGCTAGGTTATCACAAGCTCCTTCATGTCTCCCACCTTGCACAAGTATAGTGCAACAAGTATAGGTTATACAGCAGAATACATAGAAACAGCAAACAACTTGCTCTAGGTTGTACGACAATGCATAAATGCAAACATGTGGTAACTACAGGTTACACAACATAATATACTCTATGATATCTAATAATATTATGTAGTCGCATGTAATAATAGTTGGGATTTTACCTCGCCAAAGCCATGATCAGGTTATGAGGGACACCATAACGGAGGGCTCTGGAGATGTTGACCATCCCTATTTTTGTATTCTACTTTTTGTAAACGCTCCACCACTGTAATGCGCTGTGGGTAATGAAATAAAGCAAATAAATCAGGTGCTCTTTAACCTGCCCAGGCATCGCACTGTACGTGGGCCTGGGGCATTTCGATTTCGCCAAAACACCAACACCGCGACCTGAAGTTGTTATGAATACCTTCGGGTCTGCAGTCAAGAACCATAACAAATTTATCACCGTGGCGTTATTGTAATAAATAAGGGAGAGGCCTTTTTTGTAGGGCTAAGGAAATTTCGACCACCTGGGCTTCCTAACGTACTCTCAAATCCATCTGCCCCGCCCTGTATCATCTAAATTGCGGCCAGAATCCTATCTCGCAAACTTCGTGTCAGCTGCCGAGCACCATAATAACTAAACCAGGCGCTTGTAATTATGTGTCAATTTTAAACGTGCTGTTTTGTGGGGCTGAGCGGAAGTTTGTGTGGATACTGCGCAACGGTTTCACACATATCTACGTAGTAGTTAGCATGTTAACCATAACAATAAATTTTTACTTTGATAGATACAAAAGGCCGAGGCTTTGCCGCAAAGGCGAAGCAATGAACGCGATAGCAATGAATTGGAAAGTTACGTGCAGAATGGCAAACCGATCGGAACGTGCCCCGCGTTTCTCACGCACAAATGACACACGAAACGTACTCACAGGTACAGATGAACGCGAATAGGCGTCTCAGTTGTTACTTCGCTGTGTTTGAAAAGCGCGCCTTTTTCGCAAATGGAGGCTGTGCAACGATTGCAGTGACCACGGTGCGCCCCGCAACTACAACAGAACCGTTCCAGTGCGAAGCCAACACCAGCCAAAACGTGCGATCCTCCCCACCGGGAGATAAGAGCGCAAGAGAGATTGTCCACTCCCCTTCTCTCCGATGGGCATAGTACGTGTGAGAGATGAGAGCAGCCGCGTGCTCTTTGAGTCATCTTCCGGATAATGCTAAAAACAGGATAGTCCCCCCATCCCCCGAAATGCCCGCCAACAGCGGTAAGTGGCAGATGGAAATAGTTTGCCGTTTAAACGTTCAAGGAGGTGCCTCTCGTGGGTTCAGTGGTTAACGCCTCGCATTCACGACGCGCAGTTCTCACGTTCGATTCCGCGGGCCGGGGTCTTTGTTTTTGTTTTTTTATTTCTTCTGTTTTCATATATATATATATATATATATATATATATATATATATACATATGTGTGTGTGTGTGTGTATGTGTGTGTGTGTGTGTGTGTGTGTGTGTGTGTGTGTGTGTGTGTGTGTGTGTGTGTGTTACGTATACGTGCATACAGTGAGTGACGTCGACGCCACCAGCTAAATCCAGCCAATCGTGTCCATAAAATTGCTATTGCAATAGTAAACAATTCCAACACACAATTCGACCATGTAACTAGTCACATGAATCGGAGGTTCAGGGTTTCTGGAGCCAAATTTACCTCTTTCATAACTATTTGGTAAAGGCGTTTTCTTATCGCTCAGCTGGCTTCGTTATTGTTATGTCTCGCATGGCGATTGGTGGCAATACTCTCTTGTCAGAAGTTTTTAGCGTAAGAGGTTGTTGCAAATACAGACCCTGTTTCAACTGTGTATATACAGCCAGTGATCAAATACACGACTTTCACTTCTCAGATGGCAAGCCTAATAGACGACAGCTCCAACGAGTTTCTTCAAGTCATCGAATCCCTGAGGAAGGAGGACGAAGCTCTCGAGTTCCGCGATCTCTTCCAGAGACTCACCGCAGACGTCATCATTCGATCGGCGTTTGGTGTCGAATCCGACCTGCAGCAAAAGGACCGAATGAAGAGCACAACGGAGTCGCTGTTTCGGGAAACGTTGGATAGCTTGCTACAATTTCGCCGGTCATGGATACATTTCCTTACTGGTAAGTTTAAGAATTCTGTACCTATACCCTAAACATATAACACCAAAATAGTGTTTTTGGTAAATTTTGTGCTTCGAAAACTTTTCTGTTGTGTAAACACCTTTTTGTTGTATTGAAGTACTCAGCCTGAGTACGTGGGCGTTGTAATACGACCACTCGACTAAAGAAAAAAAAGACAACAAACGTTGTGGCCTGGTACATCGTGCAGCAAAACACGGACACTAGCATAAGCACAGTGTCGACCATTTCGCCTGTGTTGGGGCCAGTTCACATACAGCCACTCGTATTTAGAGCGAAAAAAACAAAGTTTAGTCTCAAGGCCCAGAGTAAACTCTACAAGTTTCACTGTCAAAGGTATACAAGCACTTGAGTTCATGCTAATAAATAGCAAACCCAGTGTGGTTAAATTGAGCGCGAGTACGATTTATCCGTTATTGAATAGGATTACCAATATTTAGCAATGTAGCCAAAACCTGGACGCTCACTAAGAGGGTTCAGCTTCTATTAAGGACGACGCAGAGATCAGTGCAAAAAAAGAGTCGTGTAACATTGAGAAACCAGGAGAGATCAAAGCGAATCAAGAAACAAGCCAGAGCTGGCCATCTTAGTCGAAAATATATACAAAAAATTGAAATATGGGCAGGGCACGTAGCGCGAAGTCAAGATAGCCGTTGCACGCGCAGAGTAACTGAGTGGTTTCCAAGAGAAGGCAAGCGTGGGAGGGAGAGACAGAAAGCTAAGTGGGCCGATGAAATTAAGAAGCTTGCGGGTATAACACAGCAGCAGCAAGCGCAGCATCGGGTATAATAACACAATAAAGCAAGGGCCGTTACCCTGCAGTGGGCGTAGTCAGGCTGATGATGATGATGGTTATGATGATGATGATGATGGTGATGCAAGAAGTAATGGGACCTACCTTGCCTCGCCACCTAAAAATGCGATGTCACATGACGTCACCGCATCCTTGTCTATCGCAACGATTTCTTTTGTTATTTTCAATGTTTTCGCCCAATTTCATTTTTTTTTCCTTCCCAGCTTGCTTTCCGGAGTTTAATCCTTTGTGGAGGCTGATCATATCATTCGGTTCCCGCCATAACAAGACAGCGGCAGACAAGTGTTTTGACGAGATCACTTCCATCATACAGTTTCGTCGTGAAAACCATGAGGTAGGTCTTTTAAGTAGCCGTCAACGCCACTATATTGATGGCCCATCTCTCCCTCTACCAGGGTCAGGTTCCGAGAGTTTTTGAAGGGCACAAACGGGAAGATAAATGTGAAATTTCAGTTTAAGATATGTTTGCAAAACGTGTACACGCTTCTCCTGCTTGTTACACTTAAGCCTTGATCATTCAGTGAAGATGTACCTTGAAATGTGTGTACTCGAAGCGTGTGCGTTACCGTGATTAAAGTCACAGTCCCTTCTGTCAACAATAAAAACAGCACCGGGCAAACGGTCTCTTTTTTCGAGGTATGAAATATATTATCAATGCAAAGTTAGCCCCAAAAAATATGGCAATAGAGAGCTAAAAAGATACAGGAGAGGCGCTTGTTCTGTGGTGACCTCACCAGAAAACGTCAGCCACAAGATTATGTGAAGGGCGCCGTCACGTGGTACAATATGATGAGATGAATTCAATGATGACCTCGTTGCTAGCGTAATGACGACGCCATGATCTTATCTGGTCAGAGGCATCATGCTGATGTCACTTAAGAACGTCATTGCGGGACATGAGTGATGCTGTCACGTAACATGATATTGCATTTATATTGAATGAGATAACGTTGTTCGTATGGCAGCTAATCTCCAACAGTGCTTGTAATTAGATAACACAACACGTTTGCTACCACTGACAGGCATCAGCTGGTGGTAGTCAACAGTAGGTGGTGGCATCTTGCTCGTAAACATGGCAGTTTCATTCAGCAAATCAGTTTTGTTTCAATCGCACTCTACCTTCACAGATGAAAAAGATCATCTTCATTGTCACTAGTACGTACAACACTATTTATATCAGTTGGCATTTCTGTACCTTCTATGTGTGGTGGCCACATTTTCGGTGAAGGTGAAAATGCTTGAGGCTCAACTGCTTAGATTTAGGCAGTCGTTAAACAAACCCAGGTGTGTGAAATATCCGGAGCCTCATCAGGTGGTTTTGAGACGTTAAACTACAGCAACAATTTTATGTTTTTATTATTATTATTATTATTATTAATATTATTTGTAGGATTTATAAGAATCTTGTCAATAAATTGTCTAATTTTCGTGGTTTCAGAGAAATAGGTGCGATTTTCTGCAGCTGATGCTCAATGCTGAAGTGGAGGACGCTAACCTTGTGAACGTGCACTCGCTCACGGCATCCGGGGATGCTGATAGCGCATCTGAAGGTACTAAACTTTGCCGAAGTTTCATGCCATGTATCTGTCTAGGTTAAAAATGTACTGATACGATATTTAGACTTCATAGAACAAAGATATTTTAGACAACACGCATGAAGAATTTAACTTTGATTCCGAAGTTCTGAGCATCAGCAAACCATCCCGCGAAACGCGACCTCACTGTCAGTTTCTCCAGACAGCTGTCCACTCATTATTCTTAAGATCTGGACCTAGCAAGTTGTGGGTGGCTTTCTCCAATTTACGTCACACTGCAGATATATGTCACTTGAAATCCGCTGCCTCGATATCAAAAACAATTTTTTAAGGTAGCTATATGAAAATTGTCACTGAAAATTTGAAAATTCGTGAAATTTTGACCTTATCTATACAGACGCCCATTTTCGGTGGTTACCGGCCACCACGCGCTCTGCTGGCTCAACTGTCTGAAAGATCCATCAGGCCGCCTTGGTCGCTGGGCTTTGCGCCTGCAAGAGTTTTCCTATTCGGTGGTCTACAAATCAGGCCGCCTACACCATGATGCCGATTGCCTCTCCCGGTAACCTGTCGACGATCCTGAGGACACTGATGAGCCCACGGAGAACTCTATTTTGTCAGTGTCCGACTTCCTTAATATTGGGGAAGAACAGAAGCGCGATCCAGTGCTGCTTGATATCATCAGTCGTATGAACTCCTCCCCAAACGATGCTTCCGTCGATTACTTTGTCATTCAAAAGGGCGTGTTATACCGTCACAATTTCTGACCAGACGGGCCCGTCCTTCTCATTGTTGTGCCTCAGCATTTGCGCCACTGTGTTCTCACCGAACTTTACGATGCTCTCATGGCTGGACACCTTGGTGTATCCCGCACGTACGAGTGGGTCCAACGCCGTTTCTTCTGGCCAGACCTTGCTCGCTCGATACACTGATTAGTCGCCACGTGTGACCTATGCCATTGTCGTAAAACACCGTCTGTGCTACCCGCTGGCCATCTTCACCCAATTGACATACCCACCGAACTATTTTACCGTGTTAGGTTAGACCTGCTTGGTCCTTTTCCCACATCAACATTGTGAAACAAATGGATAGCCCTTAGTACACTTCAGGAGTGCAGCGATGGCGTAGTGGTTAGAGCATCCGCCTCGGATGAAAAAGGTCTGTGGTTCGAATCCCGGTGCCTCGCAGTTCTCAACCGGATAAAAGAATCCGCCTGGTGATGGAACTGCATTAAGAGGCCTGGGGTGCGGCCTCACCGGTATCCACCACTGGGAACGCACTCCCTTACTAGAGAAGGATTGGCCACCCTGGTGCAGTATCTGGCCCCTACCTCCCACATGCATACGTCAAAAATACCTCACGGCCCTCAGTCCCCAGCAGCTGCGAAGCAACTGACCACGGCGGCGATCAGATATGCAACGCAGCAGTGGGTGCTAAGAATCTCTGGATACGGACACGCCGTCATTGGAACCTGAACTTGGCAACGTTTAACGCTAGAACCTCATCTAGTGAGGGAAGCCTAGCTGTACTACTCGAAGAGCTAGAAGGTTTTAAATGTGATATAATAGGGCTCAGTGGGGTTAGGAGGACAGATGAGGCCTATACGGTGCTACAGAATGGGCACGTCCTTTGCTATCAGGGCTTGGCTGACAAACGAGAACTGTCAGTGGGGTTCCTAATTCAAAGAAACATAGCTGGCAACATATGGAATCACTATAACATTATGAAAAGGGTAATAGGTATCGCAATTAAACTGAATAAAGTATACAAGATGAAGGTGCTACAGGCTTACGCGCCTACATTCAGCCATGATGACGCTTCAGTTAAAAGCTTCTATGAAGACGTGGAATCGGCAATGAGTAAGGTAAAAACACAGTATACTATACTGACGGGAGGCTTAAATGCAAAGGTAAAGAAGAAGCAGGCTGGAGACCAGGCAGTAGTCGATTATGGCATCGGAATAGAAACACCAGTGGAGAGCTACTAGTGGAATTCACAGAACGCAATAATTTACGGATTTTGAATACCTTCTACCTAAAACCAGAAAACCGAAAGTAGACATGAAGGAGCCCTAATTGCGAAAATACGAACGAAATAGACTTTATATTGAGTGCACACCCAGGCATCGTGCAGGATGTGGAAGTGGTTGGCAAGGTACGATACAGTGACCATGGAATGGTACGGTCTCGAATTCGCCTAGACTTGAAGAAGGAATGACAGATACTGATACGTAAGAAGCCAATCAATGTGCTAGCACTGAGAGGGAAAGTACAAGCATTCAGAGTCTTGCTTCAGAACAGGTACTCCGCTCTTAGTGAGGAAACCAAGGTTAGCGTAGATGCAATGAATGATAATCTGACGAGTATAGTTACGGAGTGTGCAGTGGAAGTTGGAGGCAAGGTTGTTAGGCAGCACACTGGCAAGCTTTCCCAGGAAACGAAGAATCTCATTAAGAAGGGTCAAATCATGAAAGCTCCCAGTACAAACAAAACAGAACTGGCAGAGCTTTCAAAGTTGGTTAATAGGCGTAAAGTATGCGAGGTAAGATGGTATAATATGGAGAAAATTAAACACGCTCTCAAAAACGGAGGAAGCGTCAAAGCAGTGAAGACGAAACTTGGGATAGGGATAAAGAAGGCAAAATAACTACCAATATGGATAGGGTAGTTAAAATAGCGGAGGACTTTACAGAGATCTGTGCAGTAGCCGGGACAACCACGACTTTAATACTATAAGAACTAGCAGTAACCCAGATGACACCCCACCAGTAATGACAGAAGAGGTCAGAAACTCTTTGGAGAGCATGCAAAGAGGCAAAGCTGCTGGTTAGGATCAGGTAACATCAGATCTGCTGAAAGATGGAAGACAGATTGTGTTAGAAAAACTAGCCACCCTGTTTACGAGGTGTCTCCTGACAGAAAGAGTACCGGAGTCTTGGAAGAACGCAAACATCATCTTAATACATAATAAAGGAGATGACAAGGACTTGAACAATTACAGGCCGATCAGCTTGCTCTCCGTAGTATACAAGCCATTTACAAAGGTAATTGCTAACAGAGTAAAAAAACATTACAATTCAATCAACCAAATGAACAAGCAGGATTTCGAACAGGCTACTCAACAATCGACCACACTCATACTATCAATCAGGTAATAGAGAAATGTTCAGAATTAACCAACCACTATACATAGCCCTCATAGATTACGAGAAGGCGTTTGATTCAGTCGAAATATCAGCCGTCGTGCAGACACTGCAGAATCGGCGTCGATAAAGTATATATAAACATCCTGCGAGAAATCTACAGCGGATCAACTGCTACCACAGTGCTTCATGAAGAAAGCAACAGACTACCAATCAAGAAGGGTGTAAGGCAGGGGGATACAATCTCCGCAATGCTATTCACCGCGTGCTTACAGAAGGTTTTCAGAAGCCTAGAATGGGAACAGTTAGGGATAAGATTTAATGGAGAATACCTTAGTAACCTGCGCCTCGTCGATGACATTGCATTACTAAGTAACTCAGGGGACGAATTGCAGCTCACAATTACGGAGTTAGACAAGGAGAGCAGAAAGGCGGGTCTTAAAATTAATCTGCAGAAAACGAAAGTAATGTATAACAACCTCGGAAAAGAACAGAGCTTCGAGATAGGTAATAGTGCACTTCAAGTTGTAAAAGCGGTTATGACCTGTCTATTTAGGACAGGTAATAACGGCGGAGCCGAACCACGAGATTGAAGTAACCAGAAGACAAAAAATGGGGTGGAGCACATTTGGCAAGCACTCTCAAATTATGACAGGTAGATTGCCACTATCCCTCAAAAGTAAGGTACATAACAGCTGTATCTTGACGGTGCTTAGCTACAGAGCAGAAACCTGCAGACACACACAGAGGGTTCAGCTTAAATTGTAGATGAAGCAGCGAGCAATAGAAAGAAAAATGGTAGGTGTAACCTTAAGAGACAAGAAGAGAGCAGAGTGGATTAGGGAACAAACAAGGGGGTTAAGGATATCATAGTTGACATGAACCAGAGGAAATAGACATGGGCTGGACATGTAGCGCGTAGACAGGATAACCGCTAGTCATTAAGGGTAACTAACTGGATTCCCAGAGAAGGCAAGCGGGTTAGGGGGAGACAGAAGGTTAGGTGGGCAGATGAGATTAAGAAGTTTGCGGGTATAAATTGGCAGCAGCAAGCACAGGACCAGGTTAACTGGCGGAACATGGGAGAGGACTTGGTCCTGAAGTGCACGTATTCAGAATGATGATGAGGATGATGATGACAATGAAAATTGTCTGGTATGCATTCTCAGCCAGCATATTGTATCTAATAAGGTTTTAACACCAGTCTAATAATGCGAAGATGTTTGAAATCCTTTTCGACACTCCTTCAAGTCTTTTATTTGTGTTAAATACAGGGTGTTCGTAAGATCGCAGTGCACTTTCAGCTTGTCACAGGACATCAACAAAGTAAGATATAAATGTGAAATCTGCATCAAATTAAATTTAAAAAACACCAACTTTCGTATCTGTTCAATGCAATTCTAATAGCCTCCATCATACCCTACACATGCACCTAAGAACTGGGGAGCTAGGTTGTAAGCCTTGGCTGGCGTTGCGTTTTCACTAGAACTGTTTCACTTTTGTAGTTAACGCGCGCACAAAGGTCACTGCAACCATTGTACAGTCTCCATTGGCGAAAAGGGCGCGCTTTTTAGACACAGCGAAATAACAACTGAGACAGTTATTCGCGTTCATCTGTACCTGCGAGTACGTTTCGTGCGTCATTTGTGCGTTAGAAACGTGGGACACGTTTTAATCTGCTTACCATTCGGCACACATAACCTTCAAGTTTGTTCATTGTTCATCTTTGCGGCAAAGCTGTGACTTATGTTATACTAGGGGCTAGTCATGCGCCGTCAGCGTCCCCAGCCTGCCTTCCTCCTCTGCCAGCCATCTGTGCATCCCGTCCTCCTCTCAACGCAGCGCGCACTGCGCTCACTTCTCCCCTCCACGCGCAGCGCGACCTTTAGTTTTACGTGTGGAATCTGTATGCTAACGCGCGCATGCGCAAGCCGGGGCCAGCGCTCGCTATAAATAACCGTGTGTCGGGGCACGCCGCCCTTTTTCGTTTGGTTTGTGTGGTTGCTCTACATCCGATGTCGCTGGAGAAAACGTATGCTAACGAATCCGCAAACACACTTACTGACGTCCCTTGCAATGGCGTCAGCCAATGTGTTGGCGGAACCGCAAGCAATTCCGAAGACACTTCGTCCGTGGACAAGGCCGCACTGAGAAGAGCTCGCGATGCGGTGAGCAAGGCCACGTACTCATGCTCGTGTACTCAAAAACGGGAGTCGTAAGCGTCGAGCCCGGCACTCAACAACGCGCCAACGGTGAACACTGCGTCGCTAGCGTCTCCAGAGTCGACGTCATGAAGATGTACCTCGCGCCAGACTTATGGCGTGCCGCCATGGAGAAGTACGTTGACGAAGCCGGGGAAGAATACCTGAAACAACGACCACAACGACGACCCTTTGTGATAGTTGGCGACTTCAACGTCGACGCCATCAAGGACGATTGGGTGGTTGACTACATGGAGTCGCGGCACTCGCTGAAACGAGCAAAGTGCGACGGCAAACATCATTCGACCACAGTTCGCGGGATTTGCATCGACCATGTCTTTGCGAATTTCAACCTTCAACCGCTGCAACCAGAACCACCCACCCTCCACTTTACGGACCATAAGGCCATCTTGCTCAAAATACCCAAAGCGTCTCATCAATAAACAGCCTCTTCCGCAGCATACGTACGTACGTGTTCACTCGTGTTCACTACTCGTGTAATGTGTAACGCATGCTTAGAGAATGTTTATTGCTATTTCTTGAAATATGTTTCCTGTTATAGTGAGCTGCTTACTGTGTTTTTTGCTTATTGTGTTATTAGTACTGTTGCTTGGGCTATCGGTCAGTTTGATAACTAGTATTACTCCCTGACATGTTGTTTTACTGATGCTATAGTAACCTCTTGAATGTATCCCCCTTATGTAATGCCCTCTGGGCTCTTAAGGTATTTAAATAAATAAATAAATAAATAACACACACGCATGTCGCAAATTACAAAACACATTTATCGCAGTTCAACATATATGCTCCGCATGCTAACCAGTGTTCCCACTTGGGAAACTGCCATCATTTTTTGGTTATTAATTCAAAATTTTTGTTCTTTCGTTGTTTTTCTGTTACCGCCCTGCCGTGGTGGATAGTGGTTAAGGTACTCGGGTACTGACCCGCAGGTCGTGGGATCAAATCCCGGCTGCGGCGGCGGCATTTTTGATGGAGGCAGAAATGCTGTAGGCCCGTGTGCCCAGATTCGGGTGCACGGAAAAGAACCCAAGGTAGTCAAAGTTTCCAGAGCCCTCCACTACAGCGTCTCTAAATATCTTATGGTGGTTCAGGGACGTTGTGCGCCAGGTATCAATCAATCGCCTTTCCTGTGATCGATCGAATGTGCACCATGCTTTTAACGACAAACTGTAACCACGTACGTAAGTCACCTCTCCCTTATCTTTTAGGGAACCAGCCTGAAAAGGTAAAGACAGGTGGAAAAACGTGTGTTCTCACGAATACAGAAATCTTGGCCAATGGCTTCAGTTTCTTCACAGCGGGGTAAGAATCAACGCACGTTCTAAACCTTATTTGCTCGACGTTAAGTGGACGAAATGTTGTGGCCAGCGACTAGGAAGTCATTTGGACAACTACATGCTTAAATTCAACGAAAAATTTTACAACAAAGTAATCACACACAAAGCGTGGTATATCACATCGTTGTCCAAAATGTTCACAGTGGCAAACGATAAGCCATCTAGTACTGTTATGGCTCAGCAGAAGAAAAACAATACATGAAGACGTAACATCTGAATGGAAACTCGCGGAATCGCAGTGCGTGCTCGCGTCTAGCAACTTCTAACAACATTGAAGAAGTTATGTACTGCATAACTTACAGGTTCGAGACGACAGGCTCATCGATGGCGTTTCTGTCATATCTTCTGGCGAAACACCAGGACATTCAGGACCGACTCAGAGAAGATGTCCTTGCCGTCCTCAAGAGAGACGTAGGTCGTTTTATGAACTATCTCTCCACAATTTTTTTCTATTCGCTCGTCATTCACAGTAAAAACGTGTTTTTTCAGGGTGCCTTCACGTACGACAACGTCTTTGGCATAAAATACCTGGACCAGATTATATCAGAATCTCTACGCTTTTATTCGCCAGTCGTAGGGTGAGTCATTCTATGTAATTTTAATAGTTCTCTTCATTCAGAGCCGACAATCATTCGGGGTAATTGCCTGGATGATTCATGGAACGTGCTAACATTTATATCAAAAGTGGGGAAAGGATAACGCCGTTCCTATCACATCATATAATATGTTTTCAGGTGCACTTCCACGTGTGTGAGTGTGTGTGCGTGTGTGTCTCTGTGTGCTACAGGGTCTCAATGGTAAACACTGTTTCACGTTTTAAACACTCGGCTAAAGACAGACATTTAGGTATCACCACCTTTTTCCTGTTTCTTTTTTTTCAAATATTATTACGAGATTTCATGCGTGGTGGCACCAGGGGAGTAAATGTAAAATTGAAACATGTCCGCTAAGACAACATAATAATCTACGAATAGCCAACGAAATTGATCTGCTCATAACGTTCACACTCTACCTACTGTAGTTCCTATGACGATAGTACTGTAATAAATATTTCCGAGGTTTCGCGTGCCAAAAGCTATATATAATATTCTGAGGCTCAGCAAAAACGGGGCTCTTCAAATTTTGAACTCCTAATGTTTTTTGACGTGCATGGCACCACAGAGTAAATTTGCCTCTGCCATTTGGTGTCTATATAAACTTCCATCGCCACGTCTTGAGTGGAACCCTCAACTCTCTGGTCGGCCGCCAAGCAGCATAAGCGTTAGACCAACATGGCGGCCCACAGATTTACCTAATTTGGACTTCAAACTTTACTAGTTTTGTTGCTACTTTCCTCACCGTCAAAAACTCAAAACAATGTATTCTCAAGTTCTCATGTCACAGTGAACTACCATGCAATGACATGACCGATGCCACTACCATTGCTGTCACTTTTCGCTTTGTGACGTTGATGGAATTACTTACGCTGATTCTGTGCTTGGCAGGTTCACGACGAGAAGATGCGCTCGTGAATACGTGCACAAGGATATGAAAATACCCGCTGGAACAAGCATCGTTATCCCCAACCACCACCTGAATCATGAGCCGAATTTCTGGGAGAAACCCGAAGTCTTCGATCCCGAAAGGTTTTTCCCTTTTCTCTTACCATGTAAATTACCATAAAGCCAGCCACTCAATGCGTCACACGTAGGCAAATTTACAAAGGTTGTCTGTTTGGCATAATTCGTAGCCATTCGAGTGCTTCCTTCAATTGTATGTCCAATGCCACAATTAATCTGCAATGAACGGCTCACATGCCGGACTTCCCTTCGCAATACATCGTTCACATGAACATATTTATGCCCACGTTGAACACATAGTATAGGATTAACACGTGATTTTGGAGGCATCTACTCATGGCTGTTGATCACGAACGCTCAATAAATTAATTGTCCACGAAGAAGACTTCTAAGAAATTTTTTGCCTCTTGCAGCAGATGCTCATCTAAAGTCACGGTCCTAGTAAGTATCGTAATGTGAGAGGTTTTCTGAAAAATTTTAAATTTTTTTTGCGTGCCAGAACCTATGTAGATGGAGCAGGCGGGGTCGCTTAAATCTCGACTCCTCCAGTGAAATCCAGTTGAAAAAAGCGGAACGAATTATCGGCCCATTCTTTCACGAATAGTTTTATCACGTAAAAAGATACAACAACGTGTTTCTTGTATCGCTTAGCGATGTTATGCTACTTTTATATCTACAGCGCGGGTATTCATGGAGTTGTACAAAATATACTCTTGGTACTGATTGGTTGTCTACAGGCTGAGATTTATTATCCACTGCAAAAGGCATATATGGCCAATTCCAAAATATAGCTGTGTGACGAACATTGTACCGCTGTCTCTTATGTTTCCGTCATTTTTTTCTTTCTGTAAGGTATAAATGACAAAACATACTACACTGCTGCTGTCGCACTTAAAACATGCATAAATTGAAACAGGCAGCGACAATGGGGAGCCCTATTATTTCTGAATGTTTCAGTTTCTGTTTCAGCATGAAAGTGCTGCATTATGTCTACAAATATGTAATTCCTGCCAGTTACTTTTAACACCCACTGGTTATCTTGCTACATGCGCTGCCCCTGTCCATTTCTTTTTTACTTCGAGCAACCTGTCTTAAGCACACATTTGTTCCCTGCCCCACTTAACTCTCCCATGTAGCCTGGAGACCTGCAATGTTGCTGAGGTCCTGTTCCCGAAGAAATATCTTTACTGAATGCTACATTTCTCGAGGTATAGAAAGCAAATATTTATTCACAGCAATTCGTCCTTGTTCTGCGAACACTGTATGTTGCTTTTATACTTATTTTCTCGAAGGTTATTATTTTTTGCAGGTGTTTACCTACACTACGACTGAATTGGTATTCAGCTCTTTTCTATATATTGCTCCTAACATACTGTTGTTCACTGACTCATTATTTCGCTCTCTCCTTGTCTCTTAACGTGCATAGTTTTAAATGCGAAGCATTTCTTTGCGAACTACGGCTACTTTGAGCGTTTCAATCTATCTATCTATCTATCTATCTATCTATCTATCTGTCTATCTATCTATCGATCGATCAATCTATCAATCTGTCTATCTACCTATCTATCCGCCTACGACTTTCAGCTCTTCTGGCCGTGTCGATAATGGTATCGATACCAAACTTATGACTGTATGAAGAACATACTTGACTAGTCACAACATGAAAATCATGGCATGTATGTCATGAATATCGTGATTTACATTTCATGGTCCTGCAGCTCTTGTGATGGTTTCGTTCACATGGCATGTTGCAAAACTGGTATGGTATGGCATGATTGCAAGCGACTGACCCTAACATGAAAATAAAGACATGCGTGTCATGTAACAACGTGCTCACATGCCATGCTCATGATGCGCTCGTGGCCGTTTCGCTAGCGTCATATATACCAAATTTGGTATTACGGTACGTGAATGGATGACGAAGGTATGTGAATGGTGCAAATATGATAATCATTACATGCGTGTCATGTAACAATATGACTACATACCGCGCTCATGATGCGCTGGAGGTCGTTCCGCTAGCGTCACTTTTACCAAATTTGGTATTACGGTACGTGAATGGATGACGAAGGTATGATACTGGTGTAGACAGGGTAAACATGAGATGCGTGTCATGTAACAACATGACTACATGCTATGCTCATGATGCGCTTGCGGCCGTTCTGCTAGCTTCATATGTACCAAACTTGGTATTACGCAATGCGAACGGACGACATAGGTAAATGACACATCCAAATATCATAATCATGTCATGCGTGTCATGCAACAACACAACTACATGCCACACTCATGATGCACTCGGGGCCGTTTCACTAGCTTCACATATGCCAAATTTGGTATTACGTGACGCCAATGGATGATGAAGATATGTGACTGGTGCAAACATGATAATCATGTGATGCGTGTCATGTGAGAACATGACTACATGCTACCATCAAGGAGCCAATACATTTCGACGTGACGTGGTGCGCCGGCACGCCTGCGTTGCCATGCCAGGCGTCGGTCCTGCCATGTACTCGCAGGCGCCCGCCACGCTGCGTTGCTTTGACGCATGCGCGTTGCAGCGCGTTCAGCGTCCCTCCGTCACAAAAAACGGGAGACGCAGTGTTGTCGGAGTAACGCATCGGCACAAAAAGCAGCCTGTCACATTTCGTGCCGGTTTCCATCGGCCGCACCAACGGACGCTGGTCGCACCTGGCGCCAGAATATAGAGTGCTCGCGTTTCCCTAACGTAGCGTCGCTGTGCTCAGCGTGCGCGCGCGTCAACGCTACATTAGAGTACATCGGGCCCTTTATGATACACTCGTGGCCGTTTTGCTAGATTCCCACATACCAAATTTGGCGTTACGTGACGGCAATAAATGACAAAATCTATGACTGGTGCAAACATGATAATACTGATACGCGTGTCATGTGGGAACATGACAGCATACCACGCTCATAGCGTGTTCGCGGCCGCTTCACTAGCTCCACATAGACTACATTTGGTATCACGTGACGTGACTAGATGACGAAGGTAAAGGACACATCCAAACATGCTATTCATGACACGGAAGTCATGTATGGCATCATTTACCTCCACTTCGTAACGTTGTGCTGACATATCAATATTTCTCATTTGTGCTTCGCATATCATCGATTCCCACTGTACGTGGGGTCTCCCACCTTTTCTTTCTGTGATTTGTTGCCTGGTCCTCGATCTGCGTTGAGCCAAAGAGAAGACAAGGCTCCACGAGAAGGCAAGTGTGCGAGGGGGAGGCAGAGCCTTGGGTCGGCCAATGAGCTCGTGGTGGCAATATTGCCGTAGCAAGCACACGGCTGGCTCAGTTGCAGAATTATATACGATGTTTTATTTTCTCGGCAGAAGCCCTAATCAGGCTGATGACGATTCTGTTTCAATCATCATCAACGTCAGCCATCATGATCTTACTTCTTTATTCCAACTTGTCTTGCAGATTCAGCCCACAAAATAAAGGCCTTGTTGATCCCGTGGTGTACCAGCCTTTCGGTCAGGGCCCCCGCAACTGCGTCGGCATGAGATTTGCCCAGCTGGAGATGAAACTAACTATGGCGAAATTATTGGCAAAATACAAGCTTCTTCTGGATGAACGTCACATTAAGGTTTGTGCGCTTTTTCCTGAATAATGTTTTCAGCATTTCAAAGAACCCCAAGTGTAGATTTCGTCTCCATCAATCATAATTCAAGTATGCATTCATACAGAAGCGAGACTTTTGAGCTTCGGTGGTTTTATCCGTAACCAAACATTCACTTTGCCAATCCCCCCTAATTGTTATTAGTGACGCAAGTTAACTTGAGGCGGTAAATGACCAAAACAATAATTTTGTCTATCACACCTAATAGTTATTAGCAACGCAAATGAATTTGAGTCAGCAAAAGAGAGCTCCCTTATGTCTCCTATTGTGCACTTGCGGTGTTTCTAAATCACTAGCATGTTTACCCACACACCCAGTTTTACATTCACCTATATTCAATTTAAACATGTTAGCATGAAGCCCCAGCAAGAAAGCATGGGCAATTGTGCGATTTTACTGTTGAATTTTTTTTCATCTCAGTGCCAATATAAACTAATCGTTACCAAATTTTCAAACATTTCTAATTCCGAAATTAATCGTTTTATTTGTGTGTTCTTTTTGTGGCTCTTTATTTTTGCACTGCAGTTTTGCAGGAATAACAAGCGCCCTGACTTGAACATTGTGACTGAACAGCAAAAAACACGGCCCACAGTCAGCAAGCATGCAGGACGCAGCACTGTTTTGTCACAGTTCATAAACCTTCTAGCCTGCTGATGAATTCTAGTTTCCTTATTTAGCAGTGTAAACCCAAATTTTATATATATTCTTTGAAAGCATTCAGGTACAGAGAAAACTTGGGCAGTCATCTACCCCAAAGTTACACAAAAAAATACCATAATGCTAAAGAGTCAAGCCACTGCTGGTGCTCTGCTTTCTTCTCGGGTGCCAAGAAGATTAGCAACGTCAGAGGCAGGCTGAAGATGGAGACACTTAAGGCGGATGGCATCAATGCACCTGAAGACATCAGCGTGATACGTTCACAGATTTCTTCGTTTTAGTCTACGTACGTCGCCCCGCCGCGGTGGTCTAGTGGCTAAGGTACTCGGCTGCTGACCTGCAAGTTGCGGGTTCAAATCCCGGCTGCGGTGGCTGCATTTCCGGTGGAGGCGGAAATGTCGTAGGCCCGTGTGATCAGATTTGGGTGCACGTTAAAGAAACCCAGGTGGTCAAAATTTCCGGAGCCCTCCACTACGGTGTCTCTCATAATCATATGGTGGTTTTGAGACGTTAAACCCCACAAATCCATCATCAATCTACGTACGTCATCGCCGAAAAAACAAGGCATGCTCAAGTGTATACATTCAGGTTTACTTCACTTCCCAACGTAAAATGTGTTAGGATCGAATCTTCTCCTTAAAAATTTCGTATTTTATTTTGCTCAGCACGTTTCCAAGAGGCACGCTGGATCGGGTGCATACGTGTTTTTTTTCCTCAGTTCTTGCACATGCGTAGTTATAATTATGGAAGTGTTTTATGCTTATCAGACTCAATGAGAAGTTGGGCGTCTTTCCTATCTGCACCCGCTTTCAACGACCTAGTTTCATTATCAAGTTTTCACTCTTCAAAACCACGCAAGCACTACACGAAAACACAAGGCTGATGATTTAGTGCCAGTACATGGTGTTCTCATGTTTTTCTTGTCCTTTTCGTGCTACTTTGTTCCCATTGTCATGAACCAAGTCGTACAACAGAATGTTTTGCTAAATCTGCCCATCGTTTAATGTTTCAGGAGAAAGACTTGGAGCTAGAGTCTACTTTCATATTCGCGAAGCCTAAGGATGGCATCTGGCTCAAGATCAAAAAAGTTATCTAATAACGCTTTTTTTGTCCGAAACTAACAGCATTATTTGACTTTATTCTGCTACACGAGTGTTTTCTCCAACATATTACTCAGTCTTTGTTTAATAAAACTCTTTGTGTCATAACATTTTGTAAGCTGTCAATCATATCGTCGACTCGCGGAAGCATCAGCTTGCTCTGAATGCAATAGCTGCGCACAGTCGTGAAATGTTCAATTTTTTAGATTGCACTTGCGCTGTGAAGAAACGAGGCAAGGCATCACTTCTGTTGTTATTGTTATCCCCCGTGACCTGAAGTCAACAAATTTGCACAGCGCGAGAAGACGAGTAGTTTCTGGGTAACTACAGAAGGAAGACACAAGCACAAGAAAAATTATTGACTTCTTCTCCATGTGTCTTCCTTTTGTAGTTACGCCATAACAACTCGTTTTCTTGCGCTGTGGAAATAAGCTGATTTGAAATCATCACCAAGCCTAAGCATCCGTCTTATCGAGTGACCTGCTACTGTCATTTGATTCTTTAAGCAGCGTCACAAATCTGTGCAAGCATTTCACATAACTCCTGTGCATGGACCTAATGTCACTTATGTCACGGTAAAGAAACAAGAGAGACAGAGAGAGAGAGGAGTAATTTAAAAACAGGTAGTTTATCCAGATATGCGTTTCGTATTTTGGCAGCAGTTTTTTCTATAAGCATAGCTTTTCCAATTACATTACGGCACATAACCGGTGACCTATAATTAATAATTTGCTGTGACAGCATCGTGGCAAACTTCTGTGTTCTTTACGGACATTTTGCTTGTGTATTTACAATTGGTGAACTGTTGTGTTCAGTGAACTATAGCTTGTATAGAAGTCCAGGAACGAAGTGAGCTAGTGTCCATCCATGTGCCCATTTGTATAGCCTTGTCATCAGACACTGCTGGGCAACAATATTTTTAAATGTTTGTAGAGGATCAGTAACTTTGATGGTTCGGCTAGTTGGTGATAGTTTGTTTACTTATGAAGCAGCGCGCGGAGGCAAGCACAGAAGGAATGAAAGGACACTGCTGGCCTCGCGATCAGTTTATTTCGTGGAAAGGACATTATTTTTATACATGATAGCGTACCACGTGCTACAATGACGATCAGTCGCAGCATATTTTCCAAAAATCACACTAAGAAATCGCATGAACTAATCGATGCTTGGCTAAGGCTGTCATTTTTGTGTGGGGGGGTGGGGTGATGTCGAATGCCTAAATAACTTCATTGGTCACAGAAGAATACCCGCAGACTCAAATTGGTGGTGACACCTTATTTTAGGCATTTATTTTGAAAGCTGCTTTCCCTGTAATCTTAAAGTGTGTAAGGGGTGTGATGGAGTGCAAAAAAATATTCATGAATGGACGACAAAGTATTGCAGAAAGGAATATTAAATACCAGCACACAAACGTTGTCAGTGGCCAGTCACTATTCGCCACTTGCTCAGTTTGTTAATTTTTTATAAGAAACGGTTGCAAGCCCTTTTAGCGACTAGCATTGACGGTCATGCTGCCAATGCCTTCCAATTTCGTTTTATGTGATCTTGAAGTGGCGAAGCCCACGAATCTTATACACATGCGTTATACGAGGGCCAGGTTGCGAGAGTCTACTGGTAATCGAAGGGGACCGCAAGCACGTCAGCCGGGCAACTCGCGGCCCACAGGATACTCGACCCGCGGCTGAAGAGACGAAGGATGTACTGAAAACATATTCGTCGCTACTCCTATACATTACCGACTGGAGCAACGGGTGTGCCCTCCACCATGTCCAGAACCATAATAAAGCAGGAATCATGTATTCAGACTTCTCTAGAACACCAGATACACTCATAGAACACTCATTCACCATCTGTACACAACGAAACATGGGTACATAGCCCGCTTTGCAGTGCACCGGATACCCTGGCGCACCTGTTCCTTGAATGCCAGTGTCATGCGAGCCGCATTATGCAACCGGAGACAACTGACGCAGTACAAACGAGCGACGAGCACCTAAGCGAATTTATGGCATCATCTCCCGCTAAATATAACAATGTGAAGAAAACAGCAGGCTTTAACATTTACACTGGCGGCGACGTTGACGTTGGGACTCATCGTGGCATTGCGCTGAAGATAAACCTGAGTAGGCGCAAAGCACGTAGTGATAGAACGATGATTACTACTGGAACATGGCAATCGCTGCTAATGAGCCGTCAGAGACAGAAGACTCCGATTGGGCGCACACCCGCAGTTCGCTTTTAGTTAACGCTTACACTGCGAAGTTTTAATTATTGCGGAATGAATCCATCAATTTGCGGGTGGTTTTATCGCTATGTTTTATAGAAAATTCGACACTTTTTTGTGGATGCTACTGTCCTAATAAAGCATAGCGATAAAACCACCCGCAAACTAATCGAATCATTCCACATTAGGAAGTGCGGCGAAACAAGTGTTAGCCACCCCTTCATTGCCATTTCAGAGAAAGAACACTTATATGGTAAAAACTGCACTAATAATTTTTGGTTAATTCAGCCGCTTGTGTATATTTTTTCTTGTCTTTTCTGTTTGGGCACATGCGCCTTGATGATATTTTTTGGAATTTTTGCGGAATAGCGTTCATTTTATACTTTTTTAGGCGAGAGAATTTGCAACACGTGACAATTTTTGTAAGCCATATATGTGTTGCACCTTCAATAAATTTTCGGTTGCGAGTGTGCGCTTGTGTTGATTTTCTATGCTCCAGTCGATGTTACGTACTGCTCCCCACTTCTATCTTTCATAATGAACCACAACCAACTAGCCCAAACTACTGTTTTGCTTCCCGTGCTAGCGCGGTTGAACCCGTGACGCAACCCGTGAGAAGCAACGCTCCGGTTTCGCATCTCCTCATAGTTCCCTTCAGGAAGATGTAATCTTTTCATAAGTAGGCGAAGATGTTTGAGGCCCAATTACCTCGGTGCATGTTTAGGAACTCCAGGTGGTCAAAGTTTCCAGAGCCCTCCACTTCGGCGTCTCTCATAATCATATTGTCGTCTCACAACGTTACCGTGACCCTGATATCATTAGGAAGTGTGCCTTGAAAGCATGCATAGTTTTGCAAAGAAGTTGATGGGAACCATGTGAAGAATATTCCATAGGCTTCATTGTTCAGAGCGGGGGGGGGGGGGGGGGGGACTGCCAGCGTGCGATGGTGTAGGCCGTGCTGCGCTTCGGCTCCACTAATTTTCGGCTGGAACCACGGGCAACTTCACTGTACCCCGTGAAGACAAGCATCATTCGCTACGGCAACTCACTGGAAACACGCGGATACTAGCATAATTCAGGTGGGCCGATTTTCAGGAACTTTACGGCCGATTGTCACCCGATTACGTTGGAGACGCCGCTACGCTGGGACCGGCGTTTCGAGGCAACATGGCCGCCTCTACGCTCACCAGCGTAGATACGGCTCGCATTCTAGGGCGTGGGAGACAATTACGCCTTCCGAAATGCCTAACAATACTTCCTTACTGACGTTTTGGAGCCTAAGGTCCCTAGATGAAACAAGTTTCCAAGATAGCGTTAATCATTGTTCTCGAGCCGTTCTCCTCACTCTCTGTTTACCCCTTCTTCTCTCAGCCATCCGCGTCTGTAATTTGTGCATTTCTTGCAAATGTCTGGTGGTGTTATTTATCATTAAGCAAAAGGTTCAAAACAAGTGCGCATGCGCATATGGCTCCAGTCGGATTCTCGCCATGACCGAAGACGAAATCGTAGCTGGGACATAAACTGAAGAGGAGGATCGTTTAAGTGAGTGCCAAGTCAAGATTGTTTCGCGGTGCTCGTTGAATGCAATATCCGCGTTTTTCACCAAGGTTGCGTTGCCATAAAATAACAGAAAACAGTTTCGCTCTCCTCAACTTACCTCGTACAATTCTTGATGAAGCGCACCGTGAAGTGTAGCTATGAAACTTTTCACGCGAATGCTATCGTGCAACTTCCGTCGACGTATGTCTACGCGGATCTGCGCAGCTAGGTTTAATTGTCGTTTTTATTGAAACGCCACGATGTGCGTCTAATCTGCGTCTAGTGCATCTCAGTTTTTACAAATACTTCTGTGTATGCACGTATACAGAGCAGCTGGAGGGTGTAATCAACGCACCTTCAGAAATAAGTCACGCTTGACCAGTTGACCAGAACGTGGCATAAAAAAACCGAAATGCGCTGCTTCAGGACACCTCACCAGAATAACTCATACTTTTCAGGAAGTTCCGAGCACCACACCAGAATCACCTTACATCACGATTGTCCAAATGGGCACATTCAACAAAAACGTCATCGAAGTGCTTTTGGTCAAGCGTTCGTACCAGTCTGGCCGTGGCTGTTTGGAAGTAATCGCTTTTACAACGTCAGGCCCTGTGGTCACTGACAGGATCCAGCAAGAAGCGCGTTCACTGTATAACAGCACAAACAAAACACATTCGGAGAAGTGGACTAGTTATACCTTGACGATGTACGATGCGAGACGCCATGCCTAGTGGCGTAAAATATAAAATTTCACAACGTTGGCAGTTCAGTAACGCACATCCCACTTGCTCTTGTGTAGTACCGTTTACGTTCTTTAAGGTAACCGTTTTCAACGACTCATTTCGTTCCATCTTTTTATATACGTCTATTCACCGTAGCAACTCAACACGAACATTCGCTTTTTGACGAAAGTCTTGAACCTTCTAGGGGGCGCTCCAGCAGCATAGGCAACGAAGAATGAGAAAGGTGTCGCTACCTTGGAAACTTGTTTCAACCCTAGACGTGCAGAATGCCTTTGATCACCTGCCTAACCCGGCAGTCATGCAGGCACTATCAGCCCTAGGCGTGCACTGCCGCATGCTGTGCTTTGTGCAGGGCTTTCTGTCGGGCCGATTTCCCACGTGAAAGTCAGGCACGCGCTCCGGTCTGCGCAATCGGTATCGACAGGGGTTCCACAGGGTTCTGTACTGAGCTCTTTTTATTCAACATCGTCTTGGCACGCCTGCCAGGTGTCAATCCTTCTGGCCAGCGCTACCCAGTCCAATGTTCTCCATATGCTGATGACGTCGCCTTGTGGAACTGCGGCCCTACTAGGAAAATA